GGCACGTGATAGGAACTGATAACGACTGATAATAGCTGATAAGAGGGGCTAGAAAGCGAGCATCGCCAATTTCGTTTTGTCGTTCATATTGGTACTAGAGCGTCTATACTTACAAGTGTTATGTGGGGTGGTCCCGGGACATTGGTGGTACATGATTGGAAGCGATAGCAACTGATAAGGGCTGATAAGATGCGCTAGAACGCAAAAGTCGTCGATTCCGTTACGTAGCTCGCGTTGACACTAGAGCGTCCATACTCGCAAGTGTCATGTGGGGTGGGACGGGGACATTGTTGGTGGGTGATGGAAAGTGGTTACAACTGATAAGGGCTGATAAGGCGCGTCAGAACGCAAAAGTCGTCGATTCCGTTACGCAGCTCGCGTTGACACTAGAGCGTCCATACTCGCAGGTGTTATGTGGGGTGGGACGGGGACATTGTTGGTGGGTGATGGAAAGTGATTACAACTGATAAGGGCTGATAAGGCGCGTCAGAACGCAAAAGTCGTCGATTCCGTTACGCAGCTTGCGCTGACACTAGAGCGTCCCTACTTACTTACCCTGTAGTTATCCGCAACGCAGATAATTACAGAAGGCTAATGGTACGCCTACCAATACAAAGAATACAGAGAACGATCAAAAAATGAAATGAATGCAAAATTACATAATCGACCAAAAATAAATGAGTCAACTCTAATTCTAAGCAAGAACAAAGAGTAATATCACGGTCGCCTTCGCGACACTCCCGCCCTCAACGAGGATGGCATTTTCGCTAGCAACGCCTCCAACTCTTCTTTTTCCTCACTGTCCTCTCTCGCAGGTCCTCTTTTGATATCGGGTACTTGACATAGAGCTTTATGATGCTTATATGTCAGGATAACGTCCTCAAAAGGAGTACCCTGCAAAGGCCAACAGTACCAGCACCCTTCATTAGATGTGCACCTCCCTTGGCAAAATTTCGGGCACCGGAAACATCTGCCTGTGTATACCGCCACTTGAGTTCTCATGGTCCATTCGGTGACTACCGGACATGAGTCTAAATAGTGGAAACCGACGGCTTCACAAAAGGCGCAATCGATGTCCGACTTTATCCCTTTTGAAACCTCCACTATCATGCGGTAAGGATACTTCGGAAGTGTCGTTTCCATGACCTCGATCTCCCTTCTGAGGTTCGCCACTCTGTTATCTGGAACTTGAGGTACAACCACGGTTGACTTGACCTTCTTACGCATGATGCCATTGTCGGAAGAGGGAACTGCTTCGTCTGCCGCTCTTTTCCTTTGTGGGATGACCTTGCTTTTGCTGCTCCCATCACGATTTGATGACGACATGTCCTTATTTGGTTTTGATGATGGTGTACTATCAGCTTGTGTGTGCTCTTCACTTGATTCCCGAAGAAAGCGATTGAAGTACTCATCGTCTGTTTCGTCTTCAACTTGAGCCTTTCCATGCAGGACGACTTTTCTTCCCTTTTTGACATCAACTTGAACTGAAAGCGATTCCTCCGAGTGGGAATCATCAGGAACGGGATCGCTCTTCCCTATGGCTATTTCGAGGGCTGCTAGCCTCTTGTGTAGATAATGGGTTTGATCTTGCTTCTGTGAAGTGGCTGGCTCAGCCTGTGACGGCAGTGCTTGCAACTTCTCCTGCATCACATGCATACTCTTTGTCAGTATTTCTGCCGCATCCAGCTCTCGCCTATTCGACCTCAACTCTCTTTCAGCCATAACCATACATTCCTCGATTCCTTGAGGGTTGTTTCTAGGCGGCGAACATCTCTCTCTACGAATGCCATAACGTCCCTGATCTTCACTTGAGCGCCTTCTACGTTTACCCATTCGTTCTGTCTGACCGCCAGTTCTTGGTTATTTTATGCATAGCTCTCATACAGTAGTGGCCAGAAATTTATGAACAAACGGTTTTTTCATGATTTCTCTTTTGAAAGTCACTGGAACGTCTCCAAATTTGCAACAATTATTAACTACGTGTTTTATGATCCACACAGAAAATTTCAACCTTCAGCTCAAATTTGGGTTTAGAAAATTTTAGATTTTTCGAAATTAATGAAGGCAGGTGAAAGATCACTTGATCCGTTTATTTGATTTAAATAATGTATAACCCAACAGAACAGTCAAGTAAACAGTCACTAACATTAAGCAAGTCTAGCACATTGCCCAGAACTCTCTAAAGTATTGGATACATAAACTGGATTTGAATGCGGGGTCAACTAATGAACTCACTCTCTAGTGGGGTCTCTCTCTGTAGTCCCGTCTTTTCGTGGCTCTTTCATTGACATACGAATTTGTAGGTCCTCCCCTAGTGGTTCTGTAATGTTTGGCTCAAGAGTCTGGCCTGGCTGGTCTTTTAAAAGCACCCCATGCTGTCGAAACCACTCCTGCATGTGAGAGGCCCGATGCTTTGAGTCGCTGCTCTGCTGACAGACAAAGCCAGGTCGTGTGGCAGCCATGTCTACGGATACATAACATCTTCTAGAATCTAAGTCTATACTACGTATTCCTTAGTTCTCAAAGTCTAAGAAGAGCGCTCGCTGTGAAGTGGGTGGGAGTAGAATGTGATTGACTAAGCCTGAAACGAAGGTTGATACAGGTTTCTAAGGTCATCTGGAATGACAAAAACATATTACTGATGCATGACAGCAAGGATACTAGTAATGTACGGCACCACGAGAGGGAACGTTTTGATCCAAGCTAATTGTGAAACTTGGCGAAGGCTTGATAAGGTTGCCTTGGAAAAAAGTGGGACCACGCTACACTACTGAGGTAGCATGAAGGCAGACGTTTGCTGTCATGTTTTGGAAGGTGTCATGTATCCGTAGACATGGCTGCCACACGACCTGGCTTTGTCTGTCAGCAGAGCAGCGACTCAAAGCATCGGGCCTCTCACATGCAGGAGTGGTTTCGACAGCATGGGGTGCTTTTAAAAGACCAGCCAGGCCAGACTCTTGAGCCAAACATTACAGAACCACTAGGGGAGGACCTACAAAGTCGTATGTCAATGAAAGAGTCACGAAAATAAGCGCCTACAGAGAGAGACCCCACTAGAGGGCGAGTTCATTAATTGACCCCATTCAAATCCAGTTTATGTATCCAACTTTAGAGAGTTCTGGGCAATGTGCTAGACTTGCTTAATGTTAGTGACTGTTTACTTGACTGTTCTGTTGGGTTATACATTATTTAAATCAAATAAACGGATCAAGTGATCTTTCACCTGCCTTCATTAATTTCGAAAAATCTAAATTTTCTAAACCCAAATTTGAGCTGAAGGTTGAAATTTTCTGTGTGGATCATAAAACACGTAGTTAATAATTGTTGCAAATTTGGAGACGTTCCAGTGACTTTCAAAAGAGAAATCATGAAAAAACCGTTTGTTCATAAATTTCTGGCCACTACTGTATATGCGATCCGTCAGAACATATCGAGTCCCAAATCGCAAGAGTCTTTCCTCTTTCCAGGAGTCTTGTGAGACTAGATCGAGCAGGAAGCGGCTCAGTAACTGAAGTCTTTCTGCTGCTCCCATCTCGCGAAGAGTCGACACTACGAAGCATGGAACCCACCTCCTTAGCGTAAAGAAAGCAGTAAAACCGTCACTTGATTGGTCAGCTCATTGAGAGTCGCCGTCAAATCGGTCTCCAAACGTTCGGCTGTCGGCTTGACCATACGACTGAGGTATTTGGGACCTCCTTCTACGTCTCGCGGCTCCAGCCTAAAATAGTACTTGAGTATTGAGACGCTGGGATGAAACTATTGCATGCAGCATAGCAGAAAGAAGAGTGGAAACTTGGGCGACGTAGGAGAAGAGTTAAGGCTAGATCTACTTGATGCGTTAAGTACTTGTACGATCATGCACCTGCGACTGAATCTTGTTCTACTTGAGGCTTTAAAGGAATTTCTGGTGACCATGCACGCGTGATGCCAAGCATCTTGCGAGAAGCCATCGAAATGGACGAAAAAACATGCAAAGTAGTCCAAGAAAGCACTTGATCACTTGAGTGACTATGCTGAGGATAATGCGGGGACCGAGCATGATGGTAGCCGCGTAGGTTATTCCCAGACAGAGAAGCAGAATCGCGATAGCTGTTATCGTCGTTTTGTACCAGTGAAAGAAAACTTGACTGATATGGGCAAAGTCGGGCCACTGAAATTCTGCGACACCTACTGAATCCCCGTATATCCAATTTTCGACAGCTGCGGATGCTGTGTGCGGATAGGTCAAAATGCCTTGGATTTCAAAGGTGTTCTGCTTGGTTCCGCATGAGATCGAGCACTTCCGGTAGAAAAAAGCTTTGTTGGTGGCAAAATGCAGAGTAGACTTGATGCCATTCGTGTCACAAGGGATCGTGAAGCTGTCGTTATCGCACACTACTTCAGCTTGCGTATCCCGATTAGACTTGCATTATATTCTCGCCTGTGCTCCTTTCTCGCAAGCGTAGCATCCAGTGAGTGCCTCAGGAGTTGCTGTACATGTAGAATCATCAACAATGGTTTCCACACGTACGTCATCCTTGAGTGTCATGATAATCTCCGAAGTTACCATTCTGAGTATGTTTGCCATGACTGTTCCTTCCAGTGTGCTCTTCAAGGAAAAGGAAGGAAATACTGCAGGCAATTGGTGCCGCACGTTATTGATCCATGCTGTGAGTGGTGTTTCTTCACACTTACAGTTCACGGTGTATTCTGCCGGGTTACATGTGCAGTCTTCTTTGACTGGACATTTCAATGTCTCTGCTTCTTCCTTCGTTTCACATTGTAGGGGAGGAACTTTTTGGTTATCCCACATGGCTGTCCTCGTGCCGTCGGTGATGAACGCTGTATCCAACCTGGGTATAACCGGAATGGTAAGCACACTCAATGTGAATGTGAAGTTCTTCAACTTGATGGGTACATTCGGCGTCATATGAGACGTTAAGGATGTAGTGACCTTACGGGGAAGATCAGTATGGGTTGTCTTTACTTTTGCCCCTTCCGCCCATCTCATACACCGAAAAATTCGGAAGATCTTTCCTGATCTGGGTTTGAGGAAAATCCGGTAAAACAAGCAAGCAGAGTAAAAAACAGCCGCACCCCAGTCCACCGCATGATTCTATACATGCCGTATTCTCTGGGTAACTGTTTCCCTCCGCCAGTCAACTTATCAAACTTGAACTATTTACTCCGCTGCATTTGTCGTCTATACAGGATCCTTGCGTCGGGCACCTTTTGCTTATTACGTGGAAATCTGTGTCTCGCGTATACATCACTGTCTCAGGCTCACATATTAAGATCAAGGAATTCCACGACAACCTGACCTCTTGAAGGGAGCTTCCATTACTCGTGAGACGAATGCAAGCTTCTCTCTTGAATGGATTGATCTTTAGTACCTCTGATACGTGAACCGTACACGTTTCGCCCCCATCGTTACGCGAGCATACCTTTGACGGGATCGTGAAGACGTCTATTTGTTGACTCGACTGACCTTGACCTAAGAGTGACATCGAGAGGCAAGCTACCGCAAGAATCTCTACTAGGTCACGTGCTCGTCGTTTCCCTCCAAAAATCTTTCTCATGATGGCTCTGAGTAACGTCTTCAGTGCTCTCCAGAGAAGACTGGCTATCATTCGGACAGGTCTTCCTAGTACCACAGGCACATAAAGGAATACATAGCATCCGAGAATAAAGAGGTATAGCACTATGGCCGTAGCTGCTATAGCTCCCGTGGGCCAGCACTCGGGATTAGCCACCAACGCTAGACAGACGATACAGTCAAGGCGATCACAGAAGGAAGTTGATGGGCACACCGTTTCGATCACTTGAATGGTTTCACCTTTCAAGAAATTCCAATGAACGCTGTGCTCGTGCAAGTTATCTGAACAGGAAACCGTATGGTCTCCGTGGAGTTGGGGTTATCAATGGTCTTACAGACGTTCTCAGCACAAATTTCATATCCCAGCTGCGAAGACGAGTGCAACTCAACACCTCCACTTTGACATTTGATGACTTGAGGACTTGTCGTGGTTTCCACGCCTTGGCCAAAACAGGCAGCGACTAGCCAACATAACACACACATCGCTGTCAACGTAGTCATAGTTATCGGAGCGGCACTTGTTGTGGGTCGTGGGCGCAGGTTGTAACGCGACCTATTGTGCTGTGATGTTTCGATGCTGCTGCTTATCTGGTGAGGACGTTCACTGATCTCTCCATTGCTTTCTTTATTCGTCGATTCTTCCAATTCAAGCGGAACGAGTAAGTTTATCGGACGTCGAATACATCGTCGAGATGGAAGACGGATCGTTGCTTCTCTGGTAACTCCTTGCGCGTTGGTGCACAGTTCCTCAATGCGGCCCATTCTCCAGTAGTGACGCGGTTGTGTTTCGTCGTGAACCAGAACGAGACTTCCTTCACAAGGGAGGTTCTTTCCGCCTTTTTTTGGTTCTTATCTCCACTTGATGACGCTCTCGGAGTGATGTCAGATACTGGGTCTGCCATAATTTCCATGCCCGTTCCGTCAACTTCACCGAACTTTCCAATGCCTTCACAGTCTGTTGTTTCGTTCTTAATGATGGCAACTCGTCAGATTGGACGTAGGTGGGGTCGTCATCCTCTTCCTTCTTCGCTTCCCACGGGAAGTACACTTGCATGTTGCACATAGCAAGCGACGTTCATTTGAACTAACTACCCTGCGTGCGGCACTGAATTCGGGAGGGGCAACGAGAACAGAGGTTGGGGAATTACTGGGGGGGCCATATGTTCTGGATAAGCTGACGAGCACTAGATGCTTACTTTCAAAGAGCGATGACAAATCGGCACCAGTTTAATGACGATGTGTTGTCTGGAGAAGGGCACGCTGATAACGCCCACTGATAACGACTTCTATCAGATGGAACGTTCAGAGTGCAAAGGGGGTTCCTTGAAGGAACCTCTGTTTAGAAGGAAGAGCACTTACATTTGGTGGAAAAGCACGCTGAGCAGCACTCCATCGCACAGTTCCGCGTACTGCAGCGGCAGGTCAAATCTGCTCGGTGAACGCCAGTTCCCATCTCCATGCGACAACTGGCGATTGCCGCCCCAGAGCCACGTTCACTGCCAAAAAAAAAATGGAAATTAGATTGTAGACGATGGATGAAGCGTTAGGACTGGACAGTTATGTCCCTACTGATACGCCACGCCACCGACTTTTGATTAGAATCGTGGAGACTTTCAAATGAGATTCCAGGTGAAAACATACTTCTACCTGAAACTTCACCCCTTCCTTTTTTTTATTTTGTTCTACAGTTTTTTCAAACAAGGGTGTTGTTATCCGTTCCTGTCCTGAAATCTCACATTCTTACAGCCTTTTTATTCCAGTACCTTGCAAAATCGTCGGCCGCCGTTCGGATGCTTACCGCCACACAGGTAACTTGGCCAGCCAGTCTAGACAGTGCGTGCACGACGTTCCGAATTTCTAAGATAACCGCATCAATATACAGGGTTTTCCACCCCAATTCGTAAACCTTGCATTCCATTTCGTAAACGTTGCAACCAATTTCGTCAAAGCAGCAGATATTTTCGTAAACGTTGCAGCCCATTTCGTAAACGTTGCAACCGATTTCGTCAAAGCAGCAGATATTTTCGTAAACGTTGCAGCCCATTTCGTAAACGTTGCAACCGATTTCGTCAAAGCAGCAGATATTTTCGTAAACGTTGCAGCCCATTTCGTAAACGTTGCAACCGATTTCGTCAAAGCAGCAGATATTTTCGTAAACGTTGCAGCCCATTTCGTAAACGTTGCAACCGATTTCGTCAAAGCAGCAGATTTCGTAAACGTTGCAGCCCATTTCGTAAACGTTGCAACCAATTTCGTCAAAGCAGCAGATATTTTCGTAAACGTTGCAGCCCATTTCGTAAACGTTGCAACCGATTTCGTCAAAGCAGCAGATATTTTCGTAAACGTTGCAGCCCATTTCGTAAACGTTGCAACCGATTTCGTCAAAGCAGCAGATATTTTCGTAAACGTTGCAGCCCATTTCGTAAACGTTGCAACCGATTTCGTCAAAGCAGCAGATATTTTCGTAAACGTTGCAGCCCATTTCGTAAACGTTGCAACCGATTTCGTCAAAGCAGCAGATATTTTCGTATTGCTTCGCACACCATTTCGTGTTGCAAGCAATTTCGTCACTGT